GCAGAATTTTTTTTGGTGACGACTTCAACATGTTCAATATTGCCAGATAAATAACAATGTGAACAGGAAAGATTTTCGTTCAGCGTCTTCATCCGGTCTTTCGCCAATGGGAATTGCCTTTGAAAGTTCTTGCGTCATCATCGCGCCGTGCCTCGTCACGTGAAGCGTTTCAAAAAAATTTTCGGAGCAGTTGACGAACCTCGCGAAGTTCCTCGTTCATCGCCCATCTCTGTTGTGTTGTACTCTTACTCATCTGACGAGGAAACCACCTGAGGCGATAAGTATCATAGTAGTTGTGACTAAGCTACGCTTCCTAAGTAAATGAAGTATCTTATATAATTTTAAAGCGCAGAGTCTGGGCTTTCTTTTCCTCTATTTAAAAGTTTCCCAGATCGTTTTTACTACTTTCCGTAATGCACAGACATCGATTTCTTCCGAGCGCTTTTAGTTGAGTATATCCGACAGAATCTACTCGTAAACAAGGAACAATTTAGCAACAACAGTATGACTGTAAAATCAAAATTTCTCCGTAAGCGTACAATATTCAGCTTAGTGTAACACATCATTCGACGCGCCTTGAAAAGCTCTACAACATCTGTTAACAGGAAGCCTAAGGAAGTGTAGCAGCAGGTTTTATGAGCTTAACACTAGACTTTTCTTTCTTTTAAAGAATTTACCATAAAAAAGTCAAAATCCATCGATGGGTGTCACAGTTTTCTCAGCTATTTTTGAATCTTTTTACGTTAAAACTTTGAAATGGCTTGTTTGGATTACAGTATGCAGTTTTCCAGCGTGATTATTATACACTTATCAAATTATCATTATGCCGTTTTAGGGGAAAATATCAGGAAAATATTTGTATGTCAGGAAAATATATGTCGAGTATCCAGCAAATTTCACTTTCCTGAAAGCCCGTTTTGATCGGTTGATTTTTTTCAGTTTTTTCTTCTTGATCCGAATTTAATAGCGCTAAAGTACATACATATTACTCATTGGGACATGATAAGTTACCTGTAACGTGGATGAATGATCAGACAGAACGGAAGAAAGGCGGGAGAGAAAAGTCATAGTCAGCTTTGGCCAGATAAATAACGATATGCGAGTTACATTGTATCAGTGTAAACGGAGGATATCGTGAATTGGTTTTTTGCAAAAAAAGACTTTCCCCGAGAAGACGTGCGACGGTTTTCCGTTCTGGTTTTCATTTTATAATCTCAAAGAGTTCATTTCCCACTACAATTGTCCAAAAAGATAAACAAACCGCATTTTAAAAACAAATAATTGCTCATGGGTAATAATTCATCATCGTCTCATCATCATCAGCGTCATCGTCACAATAGGTCAAGAAACGTTCCCGACCAATCAACAGTCGTGTGGCAAAAAATTTTTTTTGGTGACGATTTCAACATGTTCAATATTGCAGAATCCAACGATAATATTCTTCAGCAATTTGGGCTGACCCATTCAACTTCGGATATTTTCTTAGCTAATCATAGACATAATCCGTTTGTGCATGTCGATATTGAACGATTCCATAATCGGAGAAAAATTGGAATTGGTAATTTTGGCACGGTATATCATGCAAAATTAGACGGTCATCGAGATGTGGCAATAAAAACATTGAATAACGGATACAGTACAAATGACTTAAATAATCCATCGATAATCAACGGATTATTGAACGAGGCAAATATTATGGCTCAACTAAATCATCCGAATTTATTAAGTATGATTGGTGTTACAATTGTAAGAGGTGCATTGGGTATTGTCACCGACTACATGTGGAACGGTTCGTTGAAAGATTATTTTCGAACTTATAAAAGTATTTTCCAACAGGCTAATATTACCGAAGTTAATCAGTGTTTAAATCAATTTGCTCGTCAAATTCACAATGCAATGGTCTACTTAGAACAAAATTTTATTATACACCGAGATTTAGCAGCAAGAAATTGTCTACTAGACGCCTATGGTCAAATTAAAGTGGCTGATTTTGGATTTACAAAGTAAGTTATAAGAAGAAACAGATATTAGATGGAACCTACCTGTGCTTCTTCTTCTATCAGATTTACCAAAAATGGTATTTACACGGGAAATCACCAAACAATTTGTGCTATTCGTTGGACAGCACCGGAAGCATTGTCGCTTCAGCTCTACAGTCCAAAATCCGATGTTTGGAGTTACGTAAGTTATTCAACGTATAAAAGTATGATATTTTCTCCATTTTCTACTCTATACAGGGTATTGTTCTATGGGAAATTTATACACTGGGCCAGAATCCATACGGTGATATGTCGGAGCGTCGCGTCCAGTATTGTGTTGAGCAATTGCCGATTGAACAAATACTGTTAGAACCATATTTTGGCTCCACGAATATATATCATAATCTTATTCTTCGATGTCTCAGAAAAGATTTGGAATCTCGACCATTCTTTTGTCAATTACAACCATACGTTGACATGTTTTTAACGTGATTTATTCTCAGCTTTTTTTGCATAAAACTACGGAAACGTATAAAGTTAGAAATGGGCCCACTCTCTTTTTCAAGTAAGAATGGCTTCCTATCAATGGCAAACGCAGTAATGCAATCCTAGAGGGAATCAGATACATTTCTTTACTAAAACCCTGTTAATTTCTCGACAATACCATTCACAGCGACAACCTCCAAACCAGTCTTACATCATGAGTAGGCGCTATTTGGCTCATTCTTCTTCCACTCACGGAGACTAACAAAATCGATGAATCGATGGCCCTTGAAATTCTGTACGAACTGAGCTAGCTAGAATATCTTGACGGATTGAGCCAGTCATCACAGACATGCTGAAAGAACGTTCGAGTACCGAAAACACCAGTACAGCACGCCTTTAGTCATATTTTCTTCCAAAATGCAGTACGGCGTGTCATAATCATAAGAACTCCTTTCTTTTTAATTTCCAGTAAAAGCTGAAACAAAGCAGAATACTGTTTTGCATAGCCCGAAGATTTTTCTAGCAGATGAGGTGCATATCGCCTTTTTATGAGGAAACTTGATGACAGGGTTTCTGGAAAACCTGACCGCTAGAAAACCAGGTCTTCGTGTTTTTTGATCAGAAGATATTCGAAGCCATATAGACTAATAGAGCAAGCAATTCTTAGCAAATAATATATCTCTCGGCCGTTTATACACCATCTGTCTGTACCATTTAGTACGGGTGTGTTTGCTCGTATCATCAGTGACTCTTTCACTAGAAGCCGGTACCAATGTTGCTCTGTCACAAGAATTTGAAAGGCATCACTCGTCATCGTGTGTCCAGTTAACGAGTAGTGTTTTGCGATAGCTGATTGAGCTGTACACGGTTTTAAGCTATCAGTTGTTTTTGTCAGAGTCACTAATGCTTCATCGAGATCTTGTTGAGAAATCTTTCTCGTGGACGGTGGAAGTTTATCTGTTCTTTGACGCGTTATCGGTCCTGCGGTTCGAGGTGTGGTTACTTGCTTGACAAGTTTAAGAGTGGTCTTCTTCGTTAGACAGGCCGATCTCGATGGTATACATTTGTTTTGGTCTGATAGATGTTCATGTACTCCGTTTTCAGATGTCGACAGGTTTTCCCGATGTATTTGTCTCCACATTTGTCTGCGACAGTAGATGACTTTGCTGCTTTAGTTCATTTACGAACGAGAAGGAAGCTTTAACCGATTTCTCTTTTTGAAGGAGAGGTGTAAGCATTTTGGTTAGTGCTTTTCCGAGACCGTAGTTATATGTGTTGATTGCGGATAGAACTGGCCGAAAAGTCACTTCTGGTTTGTGAGTTTTCAGCAAACCATACATTCGACCGGGATTTGATCCACTTGGTCGGGCCATATTGCAGAACTCAGTATTTATGTGTCCTTGCTTTGCTAGTCGTCGATGTAGGTAGATTAAACTATTTTCTCGACTAATGGTGGGATCGGTAAACAATACTTTAAATTTGGCTGTGTCTCCGACGATGCGGTTCATTTTGTCATTTTCGCACGTCTTTTGACAGGTCGTGTAATAACGATAGACTTATCCTGACGAAGATTTTTCAGAATTCTCCGATATTCTTTATCGGCTTCATTCGAGTGATAGTATCTTCTACTTTCGTCCTTGGCATTTCAGGTGAATGAATTTGTTTAAGATCGAAAGCTGTTGGCAAGACTCATTTCGTTGGAGCCGAGAATATGAAGATCCTTGTCAACATGTTTGTCACTGTCGCGAAGATCTGAGATCAGGTCTTTGTGATTTTGATATATATCTGTCACCCGATGAAAGAATTGCTCAGTTTGGCTGACTATGTTCAATTCGTCAACACGCTGTGGGACTAAACCCTGGTCGAGACCGTTGGCTAGGCACCGTGTTTCTTCTGGAGCCAAAATGCGACTAGAAAGATTCGTAACCACTTTCGTGTTTTGTGTGGTATTGGTTGGTGTTTTACGAACGCTTTTTTCAGTATAAGCTACCAGCTTTTTCTTTAACGTGATTTTCTTCTTCATCAGTTCGTTATGTGTTATTGTCGATGTGATGATTTTTATGACTCGATTAAAAATCAGTCCTGGCACCGACTGTTTGAAAAGATCGTAACTATAGTCGAATTGTTTGTTTGCACGATACAAATCTTTGTACTTAAAATCAATTTCTTCCAGCAACGATCGATGCTGACTGTGTACGCTTTAATTGATGATGGTCGACCACTTGCTGTCTTGAACCATAGAAGTTTTGGTATGACATTTTTCATTCGACATGTTTTCAAAATCTTTATGTAAAGCCTTATACTCTCTTTTCTTAGGAACAGTCTTTTAACTGACCTGTACTTGTGTAGAATGTAACGCCCATAGTGCCGCTTGATATAAGCATCAATATTAAAAACTGTAATGGGCAAGGATTTAATGCAGAATAGATTAATTAATGCGGCTGTTTTGAAATCTTTCATTTGGATATTTCGACCTGTTTATTCGGTCATTTTCAACATACTGACACCAAAAACAGCAACATAACCTATACATGGCTCTTTGTTTTCTCTGACATACATGGAAGAGATGTGATATATTCCAGAGATGGAAATAAGAAAACACAGAACAGCAAGACCCCACCCATTTTTTATCTCAATTGAGATAAAAAATGGGTGGATCTCTGGAATATATCACATGTCTTCCATTTATATCAGAGAAAACAAAGAGCCATGTATAGGTTATGTTGCGGTTTTTGGTGTCAGTATATTGAAAATGACCGAATAAACAGGTCGAAATATCCAAATGAAAGATTTCAAAACAGCCGCATTAATTAATCTATTCTGCAGAAAAGTACTTAGCCTATAATGATCATTCACTGCGCAAAATTCAGTTGATGAGTCGCTGCTGTCTGTATTTATTTTAACCAGATTCTTTATGCACTAGCTTCACAGCGTGACTGGGTGATTGTCGAATAGGTTAGATCGTTCTTTGGAATCTGAAATCCTTTACTTTTTGTCCAATACGTTTCATAGCTTTTTCATTGCTAAACCGAAATTTAGTAGAAAAGTAATTTATACCAGCGTATTTGAGGGAGGAAGCATTTCAGCGTCTTCGTTTTTAAGTAAGGAAATAATGAAATACACAAAGTTGGGATAGCTGAATACCTCAACCGTTTGTTCTAATAATCATATAGAATTATTTCGCTGCCCAGATTACGGAAGGAGAGCTGGGCAAGTCAATTCGGACTTGACTTGATCGAAAACTTTTCTTTTCGTGATTGTGACTGGATCTGAAAAACTTTTTAAGCCAAGTTATTTCTAGTAAGAGCTTTTCGTTTAAATTAGCCATATTTTATCAAGAATCAGAATTTCTGAAATTATAAAAACAGTCTCTCACCCAAAAGACGCTAGAAAATTTTATGTTCTGCCTATTTATTAACTAGACTTGACTTAACTTGGAGGAAAAGTTTCTATGACTAGACTTGGGAGAATACATTTTCTCACCTCGACTTGACTTGATTTGTGACTTGCAAAAACTTGAAAATGGCTAATATCTATATGAACATAAATTATCTGAAAAATATAAACTAAATGTGAATATTCCGGCTGCTGGATATTGATGTTCAAGGAGCAAAAGGTACTTGTTGCTTATCTAACACTTTTCAGCATCGAAACAAGTAAGATGGCAGACGAATTAGGACAAAGTATAAAATCTTGTTCATTTTGCAAATTTTAATGAGAAAAATAAATAGGCCACTTAACTACACAGTACTTTCGGATTGATAGTCACATCCTTGATATTTCACACAGGATTTACACATCTATTTCAGTTAGTTCTCTAAATACACTGTCTGTATTCATATCATTCTTCTGCTCAAACTAAGATATGACTACTGGCCCTGTGGCCTAACGGATAAGGCGTCTGACTTCGAATCAGGAGATTGCAGGTTCGATCCCTGCCAGGGTCGATCAATCATTTTTGTTCTCATTTTTTGCGCATACAACGAAAATTAGTTTGCTACGGGAAAATGAATACATAAACTCATAGTCTTGTATGAATTTGAAGTGCACCAACAGTTAGTTGTCTAACTCCATCAATTGTTAGAGCTATTAGGACGGAAACTAATATCTAACTAAACTTCTACCTAGATGATTACGTTTGTTCAACTGCAGACTTGCCGCTAACGTTTTTACTATTTCTAACTATTTTGTAAGATAAAATTATGACAGTGATGCAACACTGTAAAAAATAATAACGGTAAAAAGTGGCAAAAAGCAGAAAAATGCAGGATCCACAATATTCCGCATCGTGCTGTTTATTCTGGGATATTCTACCATATTGTGAGCAAAATTTCAGCAGAATTCCCATTATGTGGCACAGTATGCCACAATTTCGAGAAAAATTATAAACTGTCGCAGCATTTTGCGCGATTGTGAGACATAATGAGAATTTTACTAAAATTTTGCTCACAATATGGTAGAATATCCCAGAATAAACAGCACGATGCGGGATATTGTGGATCCTGCGTTTTTCTGCTTTTTGCCACTTTTTACCGTAATTATATTTAACTGCTCGAATCTGCGCCATATTGAATGACTCTGTCCTTATCGGATGAGTCTATTATCGAATTTAGCCATGTAATCGGATCATCATTGTTATTCATGTTCTCTTCAGCATCAACAATTGCATTTTGGTGTGAATTTTGTATTATATCATCAACTGGATAATTTATTACTGAATTATAATTATCATTATCTTCGTCATTATCAGATTTATTATGATTGTACAATAAGTCATCATTATCAGTATCTGATTGTGAGACTGTTTTATCAAATTCTTCAAATAATGTTGCTGCATCTAGTGGCAAATTTTCTTCTAACATAATACCTTCAATATCAGGTATAGCCGAATTATTAGCATCATTTTCTTCAAAAAAATTGATTTTAATATCTGTGCGACATTAGCAGCCTCTTTAGTAAACACTGGATGCAACCAAGAATATTTAGAAAAGTGGTCTTTTGCGTGAAAAATCCATTTATAGCTATTAAATTCGCTACTGCGCATATCTGTTAAATCCATTTGCATTCGTGTCATAAATCCAAGTGATACAATCTGGTTTTCCAACAACTGGTCTTGGAAAAACTTTTCGAGAAACACAGTGATCACATAAACTAATAAATATTCTTACAGCTTCAGGAGGTATGTGCGAATAATGATTTTTCACCTGCATTAGACAGAAAAGTCATAAAAAGATACAAACACAGAATTTTTTCTAATGGCAGTATTTGTGAACATCCCCAACGGTGGCAACTTTTCTGTCACATACCTCATTCCATGTTTTGTCACGTCCAAGATGTCCTACAGCCGTATGACATTCGTTCAATTTATCAAACAAATTTTCGTACGTGACAACAGACCTTTTTTCTTTTATTGAATAAATAATACTTTTATCTTCGATTTTAATAATTTCAAAATTTTTCTTTGCCCAAAACTTAAATTGAGCATTGCATTTTGCATCCGATATAAAAGCTTTTAAAAGATTATCATATGTTTCATTTTTAATAGTATACTTAGCACGTTTCTTCCCATCGAGAGAATTTATGTACGAATCGAGTTTAGCATAGAAAGCTTCCATGGTAAGACAGTACACGATATGACTGAGTTCTGACCCTAGCATTGCTTATATAGCATCTAGACATGTGTACACGTGTCAGGCATCGCTTTGCACTGCCTCCACAGCATCAGTTTCATCTTCTTGTAAGGGCTTAGAAAACCTACGCTGATGCATTTTAATACCACGTGGTTCAGTTTGAAACACAACTAGTTCGTTTTGAAATGCAATATTGATCCAGTTGAGTTTCAAATCCACTTAGTCAGCTTTGTCCGTTCAGATCTAAATTTTGATTAGACCTAGATGAAGTCGAAATTCCGAAATGTACTTTTGAAACTGCTTTTCAAACGAACTAGTTCACATTTCAATTTTAGTTTCACCTAGTTTTTATTAAAATTTTGATTTGAACTAGTTCGGTTTTAAACTCAACTAGATTTTAATCTGAACTCCGACATATATATATATCGAAGTTATAACTTAGAATTTTTCTCTTCCTCTACTATATAAGTCATCGAAGGTTGTCTGGAGGGAGTACCCTTATTGCATGAACGTGTACTAGTGATAGTACCATACTCCTGTGACTAGTAAATCATGGTGCAAAGGAGTCCATAAATTGAAAAAAATTCGGAAAATAATATTTTTTAGTTCATGATCAAAAGTAATGAAATTTGAAATATGTACTTAAAACGGTCTAAAAACGGCCCCAGTTAAACAGTGTAAAAACGGTGCAAAAACGGCCCGTTAATAGAACATTTACGGCACGTTAACGATACCGTTTTCGTCGACCTGGGTAATACTACACAAAATTAAATTCTTAATTGAATGTGTTACGCGTTACTCTTACCCCAAACACTAAGACGAAATCTAAAAAAAGGTATGTCATTATTTCTGGATAGATAATTATAGTAGAAGAAGAGTAAATTCGAGAGTAAATTCATTCCATTAGAAAATTAGGTGCAAGCTCCGCGCCGGACCAAATTTTATGAAACTAAGGTGATATATGCAGAATTTCAAGGCGAATTATAATTACATCTTGAGTTTTTCATGTGTCGCCACAGTCTGTTTTTTTCTTTTATATAGGTAATACATTCGACCATCGAATAACAGATAGAACAAAATTTATTCTAAGTTTAGTTTCTTTTAAATAAACGCCTGAAAGTTCAAATCAAGCAGAAACAGTG